CCTAAGAAGTCATTAAAGGCCTGGATCTTGGTTTTTATCCAGGATACTTGGAATCTCAGACACTCAGACTCCTCACTCAGTCTCTTGAGAGCCCCGATCAGAGCCTCCATTGACTCCGCGAAGATCACAGCATCGTCAGTAAAGTTAAGATCAGTAAATCTTTCTTCACCAACAGATGCCCCACAGCTGCTGGACCCCACGACCCTGCGCAACACCCAGTCCATGCAAGTATTGAACAGAGTTGGAACAAGAACACACCCCTGGGGAACCCCAGAGTCAAATGGGAAGAACATGGAAGTTCTCCCTCCACTCCGCACAGCACTCACCGTACCAGTGTACAGGCCGGCCATGATGTCCAGCAGCTTCGGGGGGATCCCGCAAAGTCTAAGGATGACCCACAGGACAATTAGAGTCAAACACATTACGGAAATTGACAAAAGCTGTAAAGAACCTCTGCCGATATTCGCGCTTGTACTCAATTTGAACCCTCAGTGCCAGAAGTTCACCCCGGATACCACAGATCCCTGCGGCCTTCCCTACCCTTCCCAGAGAGACAAGATGTTCCATGTGCCTACCCAGATGGGCCACCACAAAGTGGGACCCAAGTGCCGCCATGCAGCTGACAACGACCACACCAGCCCCGATCCCCAACAGGCATGACTCTATCAGCTCTCAGACAGTTTCAATTCTTCCAAAGATGAGGCTGCCGAAGGCTGTCCCACATCCCCTTCAAGATGCGGGTGGCTGCAGCAGAGCTACTCTGGCAGAGAGCAGAAGAGTATCGTGGCTGTTTAGACTGAGCTGCTGTGAAATGGAATTACAGTGGTTGGACTACCAATCCCACCACCAACGACCCAAAAACTTTTCCTGAAAGTTGGAGGACCCCTTGCAGGGCCGTATACAGTTTAAATCATGCCCACACACACACACATTTCTAATTATATCTTTATGTGGACTCTCCATTAATTTCTAGGGGGAAAACTCTAATCCCAACAATGACAATTGTAACCCCTACCCAACCCTAACCTTAACCATAAGTAACCAAACAAACTACAAGACTTTCAGAGTTTACATTTTGATTGCCTTCACAGATCTTTGTGAGGACCTGAAAAGGGGTCCCCACAACGTGAAAATGACAGGTTTTAATCACATTGTGGGGGACATTTGGTCCTAACAATGCAAAATAAAATGAATCCACAAACGCGCGTGGATGTGCANATCTAGTCAGTGCTCCCTTAACTGAAAAAAAACTAAAACAAAAATCAACTTCTGCATACTGACAGCAGGATAAACTGCAGTGTTCTTGGTCTCTGCCCGATTAAAAAAGAAGCTAATGAACCCAGAATGAATGGTGACCCTAAATTGTTATCACTTTATATAGCATCTGTTAGCCTTGGCTGTAGCACAATCTGCAAAATCTGAATTTTAGTAAAGGAAAACATGCTGCATACTTCATTAATTTATTGCAATAGGTTACTCTGTTACTCATGGATTTCCAATATGATTCATTTTCCAACACATGTAATCCAGGAGGAGACTGGTTCTCCCCACAGGGAGAACATGCAAACTCCACACATGTAACCCAGGCAGAGACTCGAACGTGGGTCCCAGAGGTGTGAGGCAACAGTGCTAAGCACTGCACCACCACATCACCCCTTCCAATATCATTTACTAATAAATAAATTAGAAATACTTAATTTCTTATTATTAACTTTATTATTTAGGGAAATTGTGTCGTTATCGCACAGCACTGGGAATGTACAGAAGCTGATGGTTTAGGTGCATTTTAATGGCACCATTTTGGCATTTTGACAGGAAAAGACGCAGTGGAGTCCTGGTACAGCGAGATCAAGGACTATGACTTCAGCAAGCCTGGATATCAGAATAAAACAGGTGAAGGGCACACACACACACACACACACACACACAGACACAGACACACACACACATAGACACATGTACCCATAATAACTCAAATATCCATTCCAACATGGTAAACAATACTTTCAGTATTACTCTGTACCCACCGCAGTACAATAATAGATGTGGGGTTTGTGTTCATATGTAGTCATTTTTTTAAATAGTTTAAACTACATTGCGTACGAATAGCCATGGTTATTTGAAAGTCACATTTAAGCAAAATAAAGAAAACTATATAATACACATTTACACATATAAAACACGAGACAAGTTGTTAAACATTGTATGACCATGATGTGATGTGGATGTGATTTGGAAATGTGGGCAAATGCAGCAGAACATGGAGTCATGCAGTTATGGGGTGTTTTATAATAAACCTGTCACGGGGTCCCCACCTGCCCCCCACCACAAGTCCTTACTAAATGAAGGAATGTGTCCTTGGGTTTTAGGGGGAAAAGTGAGNTTATAACAAACCTGTCACGGGGTCCCCACCTGCCCCCCACCACAAGTCCTTACTAAATGAAGGAATGTGTCCTTGGGTTTTAGGGGGAAAAGTGAGTGAAAGTGACAGAAAGCCCCCCACCTTTACCACCAAGGACACCACCAGCCAAATCCGCATGGCTGGACTGTCTGCAAACACCAGCAACTTCCAGAAGGAGGCGCTGGAGGCCCACAATGCTCGGCGACAGCAACACGGAGCACCCCCACTCAGCCTGGACCTGGACCTGTGCCGAGAGACGCAGAAGTGGGCCGAACACCTGGTACAGCAAAACGCTTTGCAGCATAGTGACACTGACCTGGGCGAGAACATCTATTATAAGTGGTCATCCAATAAAGCTCCAGTATCAGGTGAGATGGGCTTGGGGGCGGGACTGTGCTCTTGGGGGTGGGGCTGTTTTGATACAGTGGGTGTGGTTATGGGGGTTGGGAAGTTTGGGGGGGATGAGGACGTGGCTTTGGGTAGGATTGTTAGGCTAGTGTGTCACATTGACTTTCATAAGAGATTTAAAGCCTGATTGGGTAACATGGAATAAAGTCCACTGAATAAAGAAATCTAGTTAGTGCTCCCTTTATGGAATCCTTAACTGAAAAAGAACTAAAACAAAAATCAACTTCTGCATGCTGACAGCAGGATAAACTGCAGTGTTCTTGGTCTCTGCCAGATTAAACAAGAACCTAATGAACCCAGAATGAATGGTGACCCTAACTTATTATCACTTTATATAGCATCTGTTAGCCTTGGCTGTAGCACAATCTGCAAAATATGAATTTCAGTAAAAGAAAACAGATGCTGCATATTTCATTCATTTATTGCTATCGGTTTGCCTGTTAGTCACGGATTTCCATTATGTTTTAATAAGAAATGAACTAGAAATACTTAATTTCTTATTATTTAATTTATTATTGAGGGAAATGGTGACATGCAATTTCAGAGAGCTGGGAATGTACAGAAGCTGATGGTTTAGGGGTATTTTAATGGCACCATTTTGGCATTTTGACAGGAAAAGACGCAGTGGAGTCCTGGTACAGCGAGATCAAGGACTATGATTTCAGCGAGCCTGGATATCAGAAGAAAACAGGTGAAGGACACACACGCATACACACACACACACACACACACACACATACAGACACTTATTGATGAAATCAAGGCTGAGATTTTTGAGTTTATGCAAATGTATCATCATGCAGTCACATGAATCCTCAACTGCTGCCCAAATCAGGAATGGGAACCACAGACAGAGAAGGAGCAGGTCCTCTGTGACTCTGTGTGCAGATTCAGGAGGTGATGCTGGCGCTCTCTGTCTCACAGGTCACTTCACTCAGGTGGTCTGGAAGGACTCTCAGGAAATGGGCATTGGCTTGGCGACGGACGGCAAGGGGAAGGTTTTCGTTGTGGCCCGGTACCGGCCAGCGGGGAACATCACCAACCCTGGCTACTATGAGCGAAATGTCCTCCCACCACAGAGTAAGGGGACATACTAACATACTCAGCCCCTCTCTTAGTAAACCACTGCCTACAACCTGTCGTCTCTCGACTTGATAACTTCTGATATGTGTTATTACTTCCCAGGTGAAAAGAATGAACTCTTTCATGCTTGAATTATGAGTGATATTTATCTGCATGGAAAAAGAACATATTTTAATATTTTTCTAACTCTATGTGTAATATTTTAGAAGTCATTCAGATGCCCACTCTAGTGGACAGCAGGCATTTGCAACATTACAATACTAATGGCAACACTGTATTACTACAATAATAGATAAATTTACCAATGAAATAAACACAATGACAATCAAATATATAAATTGAAATTGTATTCAGTACACCACAATCAATACACTGAAAAGGAATGACAATTGAAATATAAACAGCGTAATGGTCATTTCATTGTTACTTTTAATGATACTATATTTATTAGTCAACAAAATATCAAACTGTATAAAAATAGTCACAAGAAAATCTAAATTAATATACATCACAACTTAAAATAATGCAAACAGCTCTTCCAATGAATTCAAAATAAGAAAATCCCAAGAGTTTTAATCCTCTTCTATTTCTGGGAAATTTGGAAAAAGCACCCAGGGGTCGAGGCTCAGGACACTGCATGCAGGTGCACTTTGCTTTTCTTACACTCGCTGCATCACGGCATCTGTTGGCATTTCTGGCTTTGCTGAGCCGGGCCCAGCGGCTCCCAGTGGCTCCCAGTGGCTAAAGCCGATCTCAGGGGGAGCCTTGGGCACTGGTCTCCACTTCACTTGAGGTGGGGTGGCACTGGGTCGTCCTATTCTGCTCTCTCGGTTGAAGCAGTATTAATCAAGCTATGTGCACCAGATGCCTTGGAGTGTAGAAGAGCTTTGTCTTCAAAAGCTGCCATTTTATGGGCCTGCAGATGCCAGGTGCTCAGTGCCGCATTGGCAGGTAAGACGATGCCCTCGCACCCACTGCTCTTAAGGTCTATTTAACAAATTAATAAAGAAGATAAATGTTATTCATTATTATGCACAACACACACATTTAGAATTTCTACGTAATTAGTAAAAGTTAATTCAAGCAAAAATAAAACAAGAATAGTCTTTCTGTTTATGTTACATATATCCAAGTGTATCACACAAAATATATTAAAAACAAACACGAAGTGTTACATTTCTCTGAATTCTGCACAAATTCAGGTTTTCAATCAAAGCTGTCATGGAACTTGATAACTTAGAAAGCTTGACATTTTACGTGCTATTTTTACATTTTTAACATGGACATCAGGCAGCACTTCCCAATAAAACTAAAAATATGAAAGCCAGTACCGTTCTTCAACTAACGAATGTTTTTTTTTGGCTGCGGTGAAGTTCATTGTTTTTGGGTGGTATTTATAAGGGATGCATTTTCACCGGGGGGTTCTTCTGTGACTACAGGGGCTCGCGCTCACTCAAACTCTTCAGAGCAAGAACCCGCCGCTGAATCTACGGGCAGTCTTTGCCACTTGGCGCTCGGACACCACTGGAAATGTATCCGTGTAATCACGTCCAGATATGAAATGGTATTCTGAAAGATCGCACATTTAGCTAGGGATGTCCATTTCGTATTTTTTGTCAACCATAGTCGACACTCGTTAACCGTCAACGACAAAAAAAATGTACACAGGGATGCGTGTCCGTCACCAAATACCAGAAATGCTTTAGAAAATAAAAGTACTTTATTTTTTTCAAGTGCAAACACTTCATGACTTGTGTAAATAAACAGACTTAAAAAAACACACTTACAAAATGAGCCAAACACTTCATTCTACTGCGCCAAAGGCGCTTAACTGGCGTAACGGGTGTTACGGCAAATTCAGTTCCCCCATGTTCCCTGTCGCGCGCTGATTTGGAACGATGACATCACCTCAATAGCAATAACACTAGTTTATGCGCATATGATTGTGTATCCAGATTATTTTCAGCCATCTCAAATGCTTCTTTGCCAAAATATAAGGGGAAAACATTTCCTGACATCCAGGATATTTGGTTCTGCAGCTAAAACAAACAGACAGCAACTCCGGACCCCAATATGGATTACTGTGACTGTTAGTCTGTGAGTTATGGTTTTCTCGAGATATGTCGAGAAACTACTTCACACGAGCTTGCCAAAACACAGAACTACTCCGAGAGTAATAAAAAGTTAACATGAAAATAAAGGTATGAAACCTAAAAGGAAACTAGAATAACGAACTACAAAATATAGGCTAAATTAAAACTCGCTAACGTGGAATGCCGGAGTCGGGAGTTACAGAGCCCGATTCTCGCACCCATGAAGCTGGGAATGAACACAGGGGTACTGAAGGGTATAGGAACGCTCACTATCACTAACTGATGAATGATGACTTAGAATCGCAGGAGAAAAATCACCAAATGACAGTTCGGCTATTCTTCAGTTAACTAGGGTTTAATTTAGGTAATGACAGAGGTCTAAACATGTGCTGGATGGACGAACCAGGCGTGATTTCTAACCGAAATCATTTTTTAGCCTATGTGTCATTACTGACTACTAAACAAAACCCTTGGCAACAAATACACATTTTACGTGCAGTACCACCTACTTACATTAATTTCTCACCCTATGGATTTTTCAGTTTAAAAATCTATCTGGCGGCTTCAGTTAAACAACCCGTTGTTGTCCACCAGGTGGCGCCATAATGCTAAGTTTTGACATGTCTCTGTGCTTCTATTGGTAAGAAGTAGAGGTAATGTAGTCCTATTCTGTACTGCAATACTCTTTCTGTTTTTTATTATACTATAATGTAACTGTATGAATGGGACAAGGTAAGGCTTTGTGAGAGATGTTTAGAACGAATCATTATATCCTCACAGGTGAGAAGCGCAGTGCTAAGTAGGTATCGCTTCTCTGCATGCAGCCCACATAGACATTAACGTCAAAAGTTTAGGTTTCAGCTGATTTCCACACCGATATTAAGAACGGTGGAAATGAACTACGTTAAACATATAAACTGCATTAAAAATGTTCATTTATCTGGCAAATTTTAATACCCTTTGCCTCTTCAATTACTCTAATATTATCAGAGGTGGAAATTTCAGGTCCAGAAAGTACAAATCCAGACCAGGATTTTGTTTCAACCAACCAGTGGAGTACTCTGTAACTGTGACTCTTTATGCTTAACTGGTTGGTTGAAACTAAATCACGGTCTGGATTTGTACTTTCTGGACCTGAAATTTCCACCTCTGAATATTGTAACTTGTAAAATTTAATATTCATCCATTCATTGTCCAACCCGCTTATCCGTCTGGGTCGTGGGGGGTGCGGAGCCTATCCCGGAAGCTATGGGCACGAGGCAGGAAACAACCCAGGATGGAGGGCCAGCCCATCGCAGGGCACTCTCACACACCATTCACTTACACATGCACACCTATGGGCAATTTAGTAACTCTAATTAGCCTCAGCACGTCTTTGGACTGTGGGGGGAAACCGGAGTACCCGGAGGAAACCCCATGACGACATGGGGAGAACATGCAAACTCCACACACAAATTTAATATCCAATAATATTATTTATTACAATTCTTGAACGTCTACTGTGCATTCCCAAGTATGACTTTTTAATGTGTGAGTCGCACAGTACCGCTTGTCGGCGTTCCCACCCCTGTCAGCTAGGGGGCGGCATAGCCACGCTGCCTGGTGTCCCGTTATTTTTTGGGAGACAGTGGACTTAGCCTTAGTCCTAGCAGAGGACTTGTCTTTACTATTGATATTTTAATAATAGTCTTTTCGTTATTATTGTCTCTTGGACCTACATCTTCAGTAGATTTCTTCGTTAATGATTCAAATTCATTTTTTGATCATCTTTAGTACAGTAATTTCGATATGTCAGTTAATGGACGACTGTGAGAATTTTTGAAGTAAATTTGACTACTGAAAGTAGAAGCCTCCTTTGTTCTCTTGTTAATCTCAGAATTCCTCCAAAAAGGAATCTGTTCACTGCACATGGCATGTTAGTATTATTTACTAAATTACCAGCCCGTCTACTTGTCAGGCTCACCCTGTTCCACCACAACTCAGCCCAGCCCTTGAGTAAATCATATTTACTCCTTTTGTGTAGGGTCAGTCAGACTTTCAAGAAACACCTGAAGACCCATCTGTTCCAAGAATACTTCTACTCGTCCCATTCCGATCCATGTTCCCAGAATACTCTTTTATGTTACACTTCCGGCTCAGTGAATAGTCTTATTATGTTCTTGCTTGGTTAGAAGTTGTTGTGTAGCTCCTGCTCCCATACTGCTTACACATGTACCTGGGCTTCCACTGGAAGCTCAGCGAGCTGCACTCAGGCCTGGTCGCCTCCCTGACAGCCGTATGTTTGTAATCTGCTATTTGTCTCACTTGCACATCACTTTGGACTAAAACGTCGGATAAATAAAGGTAAATGTTATATCCAGTCTCACCAGGTATGTGTGTTTTTGAGGATGTTCACTTGATGTAGTGCTTTGGTGGAGCTCCTTTGAGATCAGCCCTCTGCTGTACATTGTCTTTGCTGCCTTCAGCAGAGCTTTCTGGTCCTCAGCAGCCAGAATTGAGATCCAGTCTGATGCTGAAGGCCGCGGGCCGTACAGATGGCGTGACGAAAGCCTCCTGAGGCCGTTTGCCCCGGTGTTCGTAAATCCTGCCAGTCGTTTCATGTCATTGTTAAGAGGATTCCAGGTCACAAATGCCCTGCCCTGCATTACCCCCCCCGACCCCACCCTGTTACGTGGGAGCCGGCTCTTCCGATGCACACAGTGTGTCGTAACTCAGTCCGGTCCCATGCTGACACAAGCCGTCCGGACCCGTACGGTCATCGGTGCCAGAAGAATCAGAAACCGGTCCTAATCGCAGCCATAAAATGGCTTGGCAGCTCAGACTGAATGGTCATTAGGACCTTATTGGTGTGTGAAAGGCCGTCACTGACCCGACCCTCTGCCCATATCCCGCTAGGTACGCGTGATTACCCACCCATTGAGCGTTTATGTGGGGGCTCTGTGCGATTTTAATTGCTGCAATGGAAATTGCGGGTAAATTGGGGAACAGCCTTCTCAACAACATCTCATTATTTAAATTACAGTCACCCTTTGAAAAACATCATCTAAACGCAGGTCATCTAAACTTGTAATTTTACCCACTTATTTAGCTGAATTGTTCTTCAGAGTTTATTGTATCTAATTTCCTTTAGAGGGCATGATAGCCGCTCCCTTGTTGCATGTCAACCTGCAAACTTCTGGTCCAAAAATCACCAGACTGCTATGTTCAGATTGATGCACACCATGTTCATCCATCCAC